CCTTCCTTCCTTCCTCCTCTAAAATTTCTTGAGCGCCTACTAAGTGTGTCACACTGTTTTAAGCCACTGAGTTTGGAGGTAATTTGTGGCACAGGAGTAGATAACTAACACAATTACATACCCTTCAACTCTAGCCTGTCCTACTCCAAGTGGACTGAAGCAGGAGGGACGGTTCTCTCCGGAGTAATCAGGTACTGTTAGTGGGAAAACAGAGGAAATGAACACTGGGTGGGCCACACAACAGCTAACATCAACAATGGGTGCCTCGTGAACACACACTTGCTGGAAGATTGAAGCACAGAGGTATTGCTGATTCATTTTAGGTGACTCAGAGCGTCAGGGCCAGGCTGGACTCAGGCCCAGATATTCTTATGTGGATTACCTAACTTCAACTACTGACAATTTTTCTCCTTGGTTATCCCTAGATTTGATAGCTTATGAGCACCACAGACCCCCACCTCCTTTGCCAACCCAAATATATTTGCTCTAAAAGTAAGTTAGATGTTTTTCTTTTCATTTAGAAAATAGAGGCCCAGAAATTCCTCCATGCTTGTGACTAATGTATGGTTTCAGGCTTCTCTTACTAAAGTGGCTTTTTAGTTTAATTCTTGTTGGACATATGTTAACCCAGATGATGATGCCTCCTTTGGAAGTTCACATTTCTTATTAATCTCTTCAGGCAAAGGAGAGAAAAGAAAGATGAGAGAAATATGAGTTAACACTCCAACTGATAGGAAGTCCCCTTCCTACTTCCCTCCCTCCCTCCCTCCCTCCCTTTTTTCCTTTCTTCCTCCTGTCCATCAAAATTTCTTGAGCACCTACTATGGGCATAGCATTGTCTGTGTTCTCTCTTTAAGCCTCTTAATGAGGATGAAGTAGGTATTAATGACTCCTTTTTAACAGATGAGGAAAATGAGATGTGTTTGGAGAAGTTAGATGTCTTATCGGATGTTTTGGGGGTTTTTTTGCAGTCATGTTATTTAGCTCCAAAACCTCAGTGATAGTAATACCCATAGGGAAAGACAAAACCAATTCATACATTTTTGCCAGAATATTCTATTTTAAGTTTTCTCTGTACCAAAGGCTGCTACACGTGATTTTCTTCCTACCAATCACCAAGATGCAGATTATATTTTCTGTGTGCCCAATGTGTGTAGTGCAAGAGTAAAAAAAAAAAAAGGAGTTTTCTGGCACTTTTTCTGTCCCTTTCATATCAGTGGATGATCCGGTTTCTCTGAAAAGATGATAGCAATAAAAGGAAGTATCCACTGTTCTGAGACAGCTTGCAGCATTTGGCTGCAGAATTCTTTCTTCCTGCACTTGAGACTCCCAAACATGCCTCATGGAGGATGGGTAGGCCCTTGGTATGTAGATTATGAGGCTGAGCTCTGAATCCAGACAGAGCTTTGTTCAAATCCCCACTCTACCTACTTACAAGTTCTGTGACTCTGGTCTAGTCTCTAAACCTCCCTATGGAATGGAATAATAATAATTTATACCTCTTATAAGGCTTATAAAGAGTCAAGGAGATAATATATGAAAAATGCTTAGTCCAGTGCCTGGGATGGAGTAAAGGCCTGACAAATGTAGTCATTACTATCATGATTGGGCTGTGTCTCTCTGCACCCCTACTTCCTCTGTTGAAGTCCTGGCATTGATGTGTGTACTCTAAGTATCTGTGGCAAGCAGACTCTCAGATGTCCCCCAGAGATTGCCACCTCTTGGAATTCATGACCTTGTGTAAGTCCTCTCTGCATGATGTGGGCAGGACCTGCGACTTGCTCGTAACAGATAGAACATGGTGAGATGATGCCACTTTCATGATTAGGATACATGAGATTGTGACTTCTGTCTTGTTAGCAGACTCTCCTTATTGCATACTTTGATGAAACAGGCTGTCACATTGGAGAAGCCACTGTGAAAAACCGAGGGCAGCCTTTGGCCAAAATCCAGCTAGGAACTGAGGACCTCAGTCAAACAACCCTCAAGGAATTGAATTTGCCCAATAGTCACATGAGCCTGGAAACAGATCCTTCTTCAATTGGGCCTTCAGATGAGACTCCAGCCCTGGGTAACACCTCAGTTGCAGCCTTGTGGGAGACTCTGGTGCAGAGCAGCCAGCTAAGCCATGCCCAGATTCCTGACCCAGAGAAAATGTGAGGTAATAAATGTGTGTGGTTATAAGCTGCAAAGTCTGCAGTAATTTGTTAGGCAGCAATACATAACTCATACAGGATCCAGCTTCATTTCTGATTCAGAGTCCATCTCCCCTAATCCCTTAGCATTTTGCATTTATCACATTACCTCATAACTGTTGGTTTTCTTGCCACCCCCTAACTTGTAAGCTCCTTGAGGAGCTTGTCATTCCTTATAGCTCTAGTGCAGAAAGAAGGGCCTGGCACTAGGAGGGTGCCAGATAATATTCCATGACCCCTGGGCTGGGTTGTACACTCCATTAAGGCCTTCCATAACACCCTCATGATAAGGATGGTGGTGGTTTTTAAACATTTTTAAAAATATATCTTTATTGATTTCAGAGAGAGGAAGGGAGAGGGAGAGATAGAGTTGAAACATCAATAATGAGAGAGTCGGCATTGGTCAGCTGCCTCCTGCACGCCCCCAACTAGGGATCGAGCCCGCAACCCAGGCATATGCCCTGACCAGGAATCAAACCGCGAGCTCCTGGATTCTAGGTCCATGCTCAACTGTTGAGCCACACCCGGCTGGGTGGCTTTTAAATCCTTACTGTGTGCCAGGCACTGAAATGAAGCCAGAGATGTGTATTTTTAACTAGCTTTCTGTGATGATTCTGATTCATAGCCAGGATACATCACTTGAAACAGTCTATGGGAAAAATGCATTCTCTTGTTAAGATAGTTATATACACAGCTTTCCTGATTAAAATTTTTGTTTCCTTTGTATTGTATACATACAGAAAAGTGCACAACTCATAGATATATAATTTGATGACTTTTCTAACATGAACACATCTATGTTGCTACCCCCAAGATGAGGCCAGGGAATGTGCCTACTCCCGGCTCCCCCAAGGCACCAGTCCCAAAGGTAACCACCATCCTAACCCCATCACTACTCCTTAGTTCTGCCTGATCCAGAACTTCCTATAAGTCTGTACTACTTGTCTGCTTTCTTTCGCTCACTACCATGTTTATGCTTTTGACTTGTTAAAACTCTTCTGTATTAAATTTGTAAAACGATGATTGAGAAGGTTAGGAAGGAGGTGGAAGACTGGGATTCAGAGAAGCCGAGTATTATACTTGGATTTTCCAAGAGGTGGAATCACAACCTGTTCCCGGCTCACCTTCCATCCGCTCTGCTTAAAGCAAGAAGGAAGAGTGGAGGGGATGGGGGCGTGGTCACAGCCAGACCTGCTCCCGGCGGGGGCGGAGTCTTAAGACTGGGGGCGTGGCCCCGGACTCGGCTTCTAAGAGCAGTTGGCCCCGGGGGCGGGGCCGGGGCGGGGCCGGGCCGAGGCTTCCTGTCAGTGTCTGCGGAATCGCCGTTTGACCCCGGAAGTGCCGGCTCTCTGGGAGCTGTCACCGTGGACCGCGGCGGCGGTGGCGGCTGCGGCTGCGGCGGCACAGTGCCGGTAGCGGAGCCGCCAAGGTGAGTGCGTGGCTGGGCTCTGCCGGATGCGGGGCACCGGGCCTGGGAGAAGCCGCGGCCGTGCCTCAGGCTGCCTCGGGACTCTTGTCTCCACAACAGGGCCGCTGGGCCCGTGAGTCGCCTCTCTCCCCGCATGAGGCCAGGAAGTCTCGGGTTCCAGGCTCGGCTCCAGAGTGACTTGAACGAGTCGCGGTCCCGTCACCCTCATCCTGGGGTGACGGGACCGTGAATCGTTCATTTTCCTCAGGGTTCATTCATCAGTTCAACAAATAGATGTCTAGTTTCTCCTACCTGCCAGGCACAGATGTAGGCACTGGGGATACAAACGGAACAAGACAAACAAGGCCCCTGCCCTCATGGAGCGTACAATCTAGTGGAAGGAGACAATGACAAATAAATACACAAGATAATTAAAGATATGACAGGAACCGGGGAAGTGAATACTTTAGATAGGACAGTCTGGTAAAGTCTCTGAGGACAGTAATATTGACTTGAGACCAGAAGGGTGATGACAGCCAGAGAAACTGAGGCAGCAGTAGCCCTGGGAATGCTCCCAGGCCTTCTAGTAATTGGTACTTGCGCTGAACTCCCCTTCTAAAGAAAGGGCTTTCCTAACTTTTGGCTTTGCTTCCTTGCTTGGCACTGGGATCGCAGTGGTGGGCACAGACATTGTCATGATCGTTGTCCTTTTCTTTTGGAACTTAAAGTTCCTTCTTTGCCCAGGTAATTTCTGCCCATACTTTAGATGAAAACTCGAATCTTCCTTGACAGCCTTCCTCTGTCAAGTCAGTTCTCTCTGTCATAGCTCCACAGGCCTTACCTACGTAGCATACATCATAGTGTTGAGTTTTACTTGTTTGTATGGCTGTGTGATTCATAGCTGTCCTTCCCTTAAAGACTCTAAGTTCTATGAAGGGCACGACCAGGTCTGTTATCCGTACACTTTAGTATTCTCTGTGCTGCAGTGCCTGGGTAAGATGTGCTCAGAAACCTCTGAGTGGATGAGTGAGATGATTAACATAGTCTTTGCTCTCCAGTGGTTCCTAGGAGGTCTCTCCTGCCACCAGGTCACTGTCTTCTCTTACTGATCATGTCTCTCCTCTGCTTAAATGGCTCCTCACTGCCTTCACATGAGAGGCCAAAATCTTTAGCATAGCATTCAAGGCTTTTTAAAAAACTGGCCCCATCTTTCCTATCCAACATCTTCTCTCCACTTCTGTCATCCCCTCCCTGACCTTGTATTTCCAGCCATACTAATGTCTCCCTCTTAGAGTGTTGGCCCACAGACTGAGGGGTCGTGGGTTTGATTCCTGGTCAAGGGGACACGTCTGGGTTGCAGGTTCAATCCCCTGCCCTGGTTGGGGCGCGTACAGGAGGTAACTGATCAATGTGTCTCTCTCACATCAGTGTTTCTCTCTCTCTCTCTCTCCTTTTTTCCCTCCCTTTCTCCCTCCCTCCCCCCTTCCACTTTCTCTAAAAATCAATGGAAAAAAATGTCCTCTAGTGAGGATTAACAAAAACAAGCAAACAAAACAAAACACAGGCTCTGAGCCTTTGTTCATGCTTGCTCTTTGCTTGGAATGCCCTTCCTTCCCATCTTTTCCTACTGTCCTTCAACAACCATGTTATAGGTCACTTTCTCTGTGACATTCTCCCTTTCTCTGCTGTCCTATTTTGGAAATTTCCTGTGATAGCTCTAACCACACTGAATGATAACCATTTACTTGCCTAGGACCCAGAATGTATTCATTCATTGTTTACTGAGTAAATGATGAAGCCCAAAGTGCTCTGCCTATGATTGGGATTTGAATGATAGCAACAAGTAAACTTCACTGAGTGCTTATTATACGCCAAGTCCTGTGTTGAGCACTTAGTGTTGATTACTTCTCACATCAACCCTAGCGGATTATGTACTATTGTCATCCCAATTTTACAGATGAGGAAATCAAGGCTTAGAGAGGTTAAGGAACTATCTCAAGGTCTCAGCATGGATAGGAAAAGGTAGAGCCAGAATTTGAACCCAGGCTGCAGAACTATAAGCTCTCTTTCAAGCACCACACCAGTTTGGGTCTGAACTGCCTTTACAGGCACTGGCTTGTAGGAGTGGATTTTTTTCTGATAGTAGGTGCAGTCATTACTTGTCTAAGCCTGGACTCTGTGGCCTAGAATTTAAAGGGTGGAGAGCTTCCTCCTCCTATGATTCTTTCCCTGCCCTAGGTCCCCACACAGACTATTCCACCAACATCTTTGGAAGGTAAGCATAGAAAGAACTGGGCCTGTGAGTCATTTAGACTTATACATTGGTGGGAGGACCACTGATGTTTCTACTTGCCTTCCCAGCATCCCTGGGGCCGGGGGTGGAGGAAAGTTAGGAAAGAAGTATTTTTAGCATGTTTAGCACAAGAGACCCCGGTGTCAAGGCAGAATTGCTGGGCTTCAGTTCATCTAGACTACTGATGTATTTGCCTTGAGCACATCAGGGTCTCTCTTTGGACATCTGAGCTGTCATTCTTAGCTGTTATGAGAGGCTTGTAAAATACTAACTCAATTAGAAATAATGTACATGCAACAGAGGATATTATCAATGTTTTGCAAAGCTGAAAGATTAAAACTCATTCCAAGCCCCTTTTATTATTTTGCCTTGTGATTTTTTTTCAGGCTACCTCATGTGTGCGGGGACAATGTTTCTGATCCACTGAGATCCTAGAGCCGGAACAGGCCTTGAAGACTAGATATACTGTTCCTCTTTCTCTCTCTTTGTTTTTAATATATCTTTATTGATTTCAGAGAAGGGAAGGGAGAGGGAGAGAGAAGATAGAAATATCAATGATGAGAGAGTCATCATTGATTGGCTGCCTCCTGCATGCCCCTGACTGGGGATTGAACCCGCAACCCGGGCATGTGCCTTGATCGGGAATCGAACCATGATCTCCAGGATCTTAAATCAATGCTCAACTGCTGAGCCACCCCCCAGCTGGGCCGGTCCTCTCTCTTTATATTACTTTAGAATGAATATCTTCAGTCTTTAAAACAGCCCATAAACCAAGCAAGGTTCCTTGTGTACCAAGCTGCTTCCCACCTCCTTACTTTTGCTCTTGCTGTTTCCTCTGCTTGGGGTACCCTTCCTCCCTGGCCAGTCTTCTATTAAGACTCAACCCAGGCTCTCCTGATCTTTTAGGCTCTCTTCTAGAAATGTTTTCTCAACAACCACACCCCCAGAAGCTCAACTCTATACTATACTCAGTACAGCAAATGGTTAAGAGCCAGCCTGTTTCCCCAACTACTAACTGTGAGACATTGGGCAAGCTTCTTATTGTCTCTGAGCCTCTGTTTCCTCATTGGTAAAGTGAAGATAATAGAACCAACCTTAGAGTTGTTATGAGTATTAATACATGTAAAGTGAGTTAACATGTATAAGGTGAGTTAATGCTGAGAAAAGCACTTAGAAGAGTTGCTAACACATAATAAGCATGTTGCTCCTGTGGCTATTGCCATTATTTTTGGATGTAAGCTTCCTCAGGGGAGAGACCCTGCCTTATCAGTGACACCAGGCCCTGGCCTGATATCAGAGATATGGACACCCATGTATATGTATATAACCCATGTAACTAATGGCTGACCATGCCTCTCAGCTTATCTGTGAGGGCTCAGGAGGTGAAGGTTTCCTCATCCAGCCTTGATATGTCTTCATGTTGTCATTGAGATTGTGCTGACCTTTTATGGCATGTCTTTTAAAGGGCCTCATTCACTTCATTCCATGATGCAGCCAATATGCATGGTCCTCCTGTGGATCAGGCCAAGTGGTATTGTGAAAAGAGCATTGGATGGGAAGACAGAAGATGTGGGGTCTGCTACTCGCTGACTATGAGGCCGATTTGGGCTTCTACAAAGGAGCTTGCACTGGCAAATTTCTGTGAATTCTGGCATCCTCCTCGGTCCTTCTGTTCATCCATGTCCTTCTTACCTGAAGCCTAGAGAGTTTGTAAAATCTTAACGCACTCTGCAAGTGAGGAAAGGCCCATGGCTTCAACCCTCAAAAGACTTAAAATCTAGCTAGTTATAAGAAAAGTATCCTGTTCAGTTGTTCATCAAACATTTGATGAGGCCACCTCTCTACCAGCCTGTGCTGGTCTTAGGAAAGTTAGCAAGGGAAGGAGAACCTGGGCACTGTCTTCATAGAGCTCACAGGCCAAGAAGGGCACGGAGCTGGAGCCATAATAAAGATAATCTAGGTGCTTTCAACCAGTACTTCTCAAAGGGGGTGGGAATATATCAGGAGTCACCTAGGGAGTGTTTTCCCCCTGAGTTGAGAACTGCTTTAGGCAAAAAAAAAAAAAAAGAGTCACTGTAGTCTGGATTAGTAGGTGCAGGAACTAGGCCTTTGAGGCCCATATCAGGAGCCCCCTGAGGCCAGATGTTGCTCTTCTTCTGGGATCAGCCCCAGAGCAGGCCCTTGCCACCAGGAGCCTATGTGTCTGCTCTCTTCTTCCCATCCATATTCCTTTCAGGAGGGTCACGCAGCACAATGCCAGCTCTGCCCCTGGACCAACTCCAGATCACCCACAAGGACCTGAAGACAGGAAAGCTGAGGACTTCACCAGCGCTGGTGAGCCGGTGCCTTAAGGCTATTCAGCCTGATATTATCATTCTTGCAATTTCAAAAGTGGAAAGTAAATTCCTTCTTTATCTGTTCCAAGAATGACCTCAGGGCCACAGTCAGTAATTCAGTAGCTGGGACACTACTAGGTCCTTCCAGGTCCAGTGTAGAAGTTTCCGTTCCAAGCACCAGCTTGAATTTGAGCAGTATGTTCCATGTCATCACCCCACACCTTCCCCCAAAGCATTTTATTTTGAATCAGAGTCTGATGGCAGTTCTGACTAGCCTGAGCTGGCCTGGAAATGGACCCATCCCAAAGCCGAGTTTGGGTATTTGACCCTGTGGGAGGTGTTCAGGTTTCAAGTAGGCCTTTTTCAGAGCTATCTTAACTGCTATTCACACTTTGGGGGGACACTGATTTCAGAGGTCCTGCTGTCTTTTATCTCAACGGGCTAGGAAGTGCCACATACAGAAGGGGCAGGGCTTATGCGACTGAAAAATGTGGTGGCTATCCAGCTGCAGAGTGAGATTAGAGCCATGGAGAGGTGCCAGGCTGCTGCAGAAGGAGACAGACGCAGGGACTAGAGTTCCCGTACCCACTTGCTGTTTTCCCAAGGATATGAGCTTACTCAAACAAGGTGGGAGGAAGCATTTTCCGGGGGCTTGAGTAAAGTCGTGGGAAACAAGAGCTTGGTGTTTTATTTCCTGCTTTCTGATGGCTTCCTATTACTTCCTAACTACTCTCTAATAATGGTACTTAACACTCATAGAGCAGTTGCTCTGGGCCAAACCTTTCTAAACACTTTACCTGGATTATATCTTTTAAGCCACACCATAGCCCTATGAGTAGGTATTTTTGTTGTCCGCATTTTGCAGACGAGGAAACAGAGTTCAAGGTCACACAACTAGGAAATTAGGGGAGCCAAGATGGGAATCCAGCTAGGCTGACCCTAGAGCTCATACCCTTAACCTTTCTGCTATAAAACCTCTTGTTTTGTTTTTATAACCTTTTTATTTAAGGAGGATATTTATCAGAAAATCTAGAACTGTTCTGTCCATTATGGTAGCCATGTGCCAAATGTAGCAATTGAGCACTTGAAATGTAGATTGTTCAATTGAGGAACTGGATATTTTTTTAAATTTTAGTGAAATTAAAATAAACCCATGTGGTGAATGGTGGCCTGCGCAGTTCCATTATTGCAGAAAGTTCTGTTGGACAGTACTGGTAGAGACTGGTTCCTTGAGTGGTTGGGTTTGGTTTTCCACCTCAGTTCTTCCCCTCATACTGAACACCTGCGTTGCTAGACTGTGGGCTCTGTGAGAGCAGGGACCTGGTGCCTTCTCTTCATTCTGGTTTCCCAATACCAGGAAAAATTCAGTAAGTGACTCAAGGACCCTTGCCAGCCATTGCGACAGGCACTGAAGCTGCTAAGAGAAAAGACATGGTTCCTGCCTTTGAGTGGCCCATGGTCTGAGAGGAAAGCAGACCAGCAGCTTCTTTACAGTGTGATCAGAGTTGTGACAGAAGGAAGTCCAGACTGCTGATACAGACCAAAGGGGGGTGTGTAGGCAGGGAGGTCTTGGGAGTAATAGGAGGGCACGTGCAGCCAGGGAAGTTTTCCTGAAGGAGGAGATCCTGAACTGGATATTGAAGGATAACAGGCACTAGCCAGGCAGAGCAATGGGGAAAGGGTAGACCTGCAGGAGGACCTGAGTATGCTGTTTTGAAAGAGCCTGACTCCTATACCAACCACCAGTCACTTGAGGTAGAAACAGTATCCCATGGCTTTGAGTAAAATGTCACACATACTTGGCTATGTGACTTTGGGCAAGTTACGTTGTAACCTCTCCATACCTCTGGATCTAAAAAGGATAATAATAGAACCAGCTTTGTGTGGTGGCTCTGAGGATTATATGAGACATCTGAATTAACATTGTGCCTAGAACATAGTAAACATCAATAATAATGGTGATAACAGTGACAGCAACAGAACCATTGAATGGGGAGTAGGGTGGGAAGAGGGATGAGCTGAAGGAGACAGCTGCCTGATTGAGGAGCAGTCTTGATGGCCATGCTGAAGAGGGTTACCCTGCTGGCCACTGGAAGCTCCTGAAAGATTGTCCTGAGGTTTGTACCCACCCTGTATTTGTCTCTTTAGTCCTAACATGGTAAAAGAAGATCTCTAGTCAAGGGACAGCTTCCACTCTGCCTTTGCAGGGTGATGGGTCAAGCTAATGTTTATTGAGGGGCTACTGTGTGTGCAGTGCATACTTTATGCTATTGAAGATCCAAAAGAAAGTCTTGGGAAGAATGGGTGAGTGAGCTTTTGAAGAAGACAAGACTCATTTAAGTGGAGCATTTGGGGAATGGTGCAAAATGGTTTCTTGTCATGATAAACAGAAGTCTGATGGGCAGAGAATGTTCAGAAAGCTTCATGGAGCAAGTGGGATGTAAGCCAGGTTTGAAGGGTGGAAGATACAGCTGGGGCCAGCTGCTCCCTGCCCTGAAACCTTCCATTGCCCCCATTACCTACTAAATAAAGCCCCTACTCTTGAGCTTAGCATTCAAGGTTCTTCAAAGACCGTGACAGCATCTGGTCCTTCATTACCTCCATTCATTTCTTTGTCCAGCCAGCAAATGTATATGGAGAGTCTGCTGGATGCCAGGTACTATTCTAGGGACTGAGAGTGTGGGTGAGTAAGGCTCAGACTGCCTCCGGAGACCTACAGTCTATTGAGGGGACACAGTAGGCAGACCCTCCCTTTTTATATTTTATTAGAGTATCATTGAAGGACAATAAACTGCACACATTTAAAGCATACAGTTTGATTGGTTTTGACATCTGTATACACCCACGAAACCATCACCACATTACCATAATCAAGATATAGACCATTTCTACCACTCCTAAAAGTTTGTGTCTCTCTATAATTCATCCCTTCCTCTCTCCCCATCCGTAGCAACCACTGATCTGAAAGTACTTTTGATGTAGTTCAAGTGCTACAGTTGGGGAAGCACAGAGTTCAGGTGCTGGGGGAGCCCAGGTGAACCCCTAATTTAGTCAGGGGTGGGAGTTGGAGAGACTTCCTGGAGGAGGTGAGGTCAGAGCTGGGATCAAAAGGGCAAGCAGTGAGATCAGGATGGCAGATAGGTACCACAGGTCATTTAGTAGTTCTGCACTGTAAGCTTTGGTTCAAATCCTGCCTCATTTACTTCCTTAGCCCTGTGACCTTGGCAGAGTTCCTGAAGCTTACTGAATCTTTGTTTCCTCCTCTGTTAAAAAATACTATCTCCCTTTTAAATAGTTGTAGATAAAAAAGAAAGTCTGCTTTTTAAAATACCTATTCAGCAGCTGGCACAGGGGCATGTCCTTGATGAGTGGTGGCTTTTATTGTCATCATTCTAGTGTTCTCTCCCTCCAAATCCATCTCCTACCACCCAGTGCAATCTGTGCCCCTTTTTTTATAGCCCATTTTTATGCCTCCATAAAAATACTATTTCTTCATTCTAAAAATCTTTCTCATTCTCCAAGGCCCAGCTCAGATGCTGTCCCCTATCCTCCAAGCACAGTTAATCCCCTTTTGCACTCCCATGGTCCCTTCGCCAGGTTTGAGCTGTCACTTGCTCTGTTTTATGCTCACTTGATGGTTTAGATGTGCACCTTCCCCTCTGGAGCATGGTCTCTGTGAGCACCTAGATACCTTTCTTCAAGTGCCCCACCACACCTGGCACAGCAGGGTGTCAGTCAGTGTTTGTAAGGAAAGTAGAATCTTGGGACGGTGGGGGTGTGTATGTTTCAGAATGGAGGGTGAGTGAGTAGGCTGGCATGAGAAATGACCTAAGGGGTGAGATGTCAACAGATAGAGTTGCTGGGGAACTAGGAAACCAAGGAGATGATGAATTTAGGCCTTAGAACAGTAGTTTTGAACTTGCTTCAGGCAGCAGAATTCCTTTTTCAAAAGATTTATACCTGGAACCCCAATGGATAACTTCTAATTTAAATAAGAAGGGTCCTGAAGACCCATCCAATAGGTGGCCCTGGAGGAATCCTTGTGGAACTCGAACACTCCACAGTTTGAAAACTTGCATTAGGCAGTGGGGGGCATAGGTGGTTCTCAAGGAGGCTGACAGTCAGTCATGATTTTCCTGTCTCTCCTGGACTGGCAGGCCTGGAAGTGGGTGGATTGTGGTTGATAACAGCTGATATGTTGCCTGGTTTTCCTCCTATTGCCGTTTCCCCTGGAGAAAGCAGCCCTTATGTAGTCAGGAGAAAACTGAGCTCATCGTCTCTTCTTTATGGTGAACAAAGTGAGGTTTGTTCGTGGCAAGGTAGGGGTTGGAAGAGAGAACTTGTGATTTTAAGCCCAAACCTGCCATTACTCAACTAGCATCTTTTCTTAAAAAAAATTACTGAAGTTTCTTTTTTCTGATTATAAAAAGGATACAGCATGATACATACAGAATAATAACATTTTTGTGAGAAAGATGAAAACATCTAAACAAATACCTTATATGGATATATTTTAATGTAAATGCCTAGGAAATGTCTGCAAGGACACTCATGGGATGGGATGACACGTGGACTGGGAGTGAAGTCTCAGGCAACTCACCTTCTCTGTAGTGTTGTAAATTTTTGAAAGAAAAGATGCTCACGTCTCACTTTTGTAATTAAAAAATAATTTTAAAAAATAATACATGTTTGTGGTTTTTTTGGGTTTTTTTAAACTCAAGTCTATTTATTTTTATTTTTAATATGTCTTTATTGATTTCAGAGAGAGGGAGAGAGAGAGATAGAAACATCAATGATGAGAGAGTCATTAATCAGCTGCCTCCTGCATGTCCCCTACTAGAGATCAAGCCTGCAACCCGGGCTTGTGCCCTGACCAGGAATCGAATTGTGATCTTCTGAATCCTAGGTTGACGCTCAACTGCTGAGCCATGCCTGGCCAGGCCATGTTTGTTTGTTTTTAAATTGGAAAGTATATTCAAGTCACAATCTCCCCACCAGAAATAACCACTATCAGCTTTGGAGTGTTATCACCCCCCCGACACACACTTTTTTTTTAGCCTGTACCAGTATGTGAATGTGTTAAATCTATCTATCTTCTATCTATCTATCTATCTATCTATCTATCTATCTATCTATCTATCTATCTATCTATCTATCATCTATCATCCATCTATCTGTTTTTAAAAAAATAAAAAAACTATTTATATTAAATAGAGAGTTTTGTATCCTGCCTTTTCTTTCCTTAACATTTCCCCGTGTCATTAAATATTCTCCAAAAAACATGTTTTTTAATGCCCTCCTAGTATTCCCTGGATGCAACCAAGCCCCTTTGTTAGAGATACTTGGTTCTTTATGCTTAAAAGCTCCTTGGAGGGTCACCGGTTGGAACAGCCAACTGTTGTCATTGCTGTGGGTTGGCAAATGGGCCCTCACTGACTAACCTCTGCCACGTTAACACGTGGTTTTTGGATCCGTAGCACCCCGAGCAGAAGGCAGACCGGTATTTTGTGTTATACAAACCGCCCCCTAAAGACAACATTCCCGCCCTAGTGGAGGAGTACCTGGAACGCGCCACCTTCGTAGCCAATGACCTCGACTGGCTCCTGGCCTTGCCTCACGATAAATTCTGGTGCCAGGTAACATTCTATCAAAATTAACGCTAAGACAAAGCACATGACATGCTGTTTGGTTGGTTTCTGTTGTTGTTTCTCTCCCCCCTAGGAGATGCTTTTTCTCTCCTTTTTTCACTAGATTCTTAACAGCAAATTGTGGTTTAGATTGCTCTGTCTTGTATCACGATCTTAATGATGTTTATACAACGCATTCCAACATGTCATTTTTAGAAACTTGTGTTTAGCCCTTGCTCATTCATACCTTCTCAGTCCCTGGGGTTGGAGTGTTTGCCACCAGCCAGGGCTGATGGGCCATGAGCCCCTGCGCAGTCCACCCACAAGCCCTTGGGTGTCAGTAACAAATCCTTGCTCTCCTGTGTTGCCTGGCTTAGGTTATCTTCGATGAGACGCTGCAGAAGTGCCTGGACTCCTACCTGCGCTATGTTCCCAGAAAGTTCGACGAGTGGGTGGCCCCAGCCCCCGAGGTTGTTGACATGCAGAAGCGCCTCCATCGAAGCGTTTTTCTCACCTTTCTCCGCATGTCCACTCACAAGGAATCCAAAGTAAGCCCCTGATCCCGTGACAGGTCACCACTGACACCTAATACCTCTGTGCTGGACTTTCCGTCCCTGGGAAGGAAGGCTCTGGAAGTATTGAGTTTCCTCTTTGTCTCCTCTCCGCCTTTATTCCCACTGTTGGGGAAGAAATCTGTGCCACCTCCCTTATCCTCTAATTCACCTGGTCGGTCTGCATTACACCCAGTGTTTTCATCAATGGGAGCCAAGGGCCCTTTGCCAGTTGACGTGTGACTCTGCCTTTTCTTGTGCGTCAGAGGGTGAAAACACTGATTCTGATTTTTGAAAGGAACTTGTATGTGCTTTTTAAAAACCTTTACTCCCCTCCCCCCCCTCCGATTTAAAAAATAATAATGCTGCTGCTCTGCCTGGTGTGGCTCAGTTGGAGCATCTTCCCATACACCAAAAGGTGGTGAGTTCGATTCCCAGCCAGGGCACATACCCTGGTTGTGGGTTTGATCCCCAGTTGGGGGCGCATGCTGGAGGTTGCTGATCAGTGTTTCTCATGTCCATGTTTTCCTCTCTTCCTCTCTCTAAAATCAATCAATAATAATGATAATAATAATAATGCTGTCTCTAAACAACATAAACATTACAGAAATATTTTGTCCTAGTGAAGGTTACCTACAAAATCCTCTACCCTCAAAATAACCACTGTTAAGGTGCATGTTCCTTTAGGGAATTTTTTTCCCTTTCAGTAGAGGTGTGTGTTTGTGAGTACATTTATGTTAAAAATAGGGTCTTGTTATTTTTTAAACTTTTTTAAGTATGGAAATTTTCAAATATACACAAAAGCATAATGAACTCCATGTGCCCATCGCCCAACTTAAACAACTATCAACATTTTTCCAATCTAGTTTTCTCTCTCCCCCAGAGTTTTTCTTTTTCTTTCTTTCTGGAGTATTTTAAAGTGATCTTAGACATCATGGTAATTTATCCATAAATATTTTAGAACAAATGCCCAACCATTTCATAGTGTACTTTTGCTTCTTTGTACATTAAAATGGAGAACGGCTATTGCTCCAGGTCAGTATGAGTCTCAGACATGTCCACAGTGTGGATGGACCTTCATTTATTATCCAGACCCCTGTTGATGGCCCTGAAGGTTGTTTCTTGTGCGTTTGCTATTACTTTACAATGTATTTGCTTTTCAGAAAGTCTCTCATCCTTTCTCTGCACTGTTCCTTAGGATCACTTCATTTCCCCCTCTGCATTTGGAGAAATCCTCTACAATAACTTCCTGTTTGACATCCCAAAGATTCTGGACCTCTGCGTGCTCTTTGGAAAAGGCAACTCGTCACTGCTCAAGAAGATGATAGGTGTGTAGACCATGGGGGCTGGGGGGATGCACAGAGATGGCCCCCACATGCCAAACTAGAGGTTCCAAAGGTGGGTACCTAGATGAGTGCAGGGGGATTCAGAGTGGCAGTGGTAGGTGGTGCTTGGAAATAACTTAGATATATGTGTGTCAACTCTGAAATAAGTGGCTGGGTGGTGATGATGGGGGAGTGGAGACAGAAATGTGTACCACACGGTTCCTCAAGGATCTTGGAGTCTTAGTATTAGGCCATGTGTTAAACTGTTGAAGGAGCAGGGAAGCTTGCTTCGGTGATAAGAGTAAGAGCAGCATGGTAGCTAACCTTCATATGAGTACTCACTGGGGGGCTGAGCACTCATGTTATCTCAGTTGATCCTCATAGCAGCCCTGTGACATCCTCTCCCTTTACAGATAAGGAAACCGAGGTTAACATGTAAGAGGCCGTGACTAATAAGTGGCCAAGCTGGGGCTCTTGTTCTTCGCCACTCCCTGCCTCAGGGATGAGTCTGCCTTAAAAATGTCCTGATTTGCATTGTTGCCGAGAACAGATGGGGGCAGAGCTCAGACTGGACTCCAGGTTGTGAAAGGAATGACTTCAGCAGTTGGATCCTATCAGGATGTAGTGAGCCGGAAGTTTCGATCAGAGACAGAAGCTTTGTTGGGATGCTACAGAGGGAGCAACGCCCTATGAATCCCAACTCGTGGCCTTGGGCCCTGCATGGAGAGGTGCTCACCCTGGGCGCCCCGTCAGCCTTCCTCACGTTGAGCTTGTAGGACACAGCCTTCCAAATGCCCAATTACAAAGCTGAGTTATTCCTTAAAATGGTTTCCTTTCCTTTTTTACCCTAATAATAATCTGTGTTATGTTCATTTAAAAATTTTGGAAGAATATAAAGTATAAAGAAGCAGGAAAGTGGTTACCAAATTCCTGCACTTAGAGACAATTATTTAGTGATTATTTCCTCCCAGTCTTTTCTCTACATGTATTTTTTAAAAACATATCAGAGCATAATGTATTTGAAATTTCATATCCAGCTTTTTCATTGGAGCAACCTCTGGTTTCTCATTCAAATCTAATTAATGCATCATCACCAGTTAATTTCTTTTATTTTCCCAGGGAAAGACCCTTGATAATTTTAATGTAGTCTAAGAGGATGAGGTGAGTGAGCAAAAAGCAAGCATGCTTAGTTAGAGAAACAATTATTAGGCCAGTTTGGTTAAAGTGGAGCATTCTGGGAGACAAGGGAATGGGAAGCTGGGACCAGATCAGGGAGGGCTCAATGCCAGGCTTTAGGGACTGGTATTGCTGGTGGCTAAAAAGGTATGCTCTTATGGTAAACTGCCCATTGCACACCCCAGCTCTATTCCTGGCTATGTCATGTAGCCACTCTAATTGGTTACTTTTCAGTTAGCCACTCTAAGGCTCAGTTTTCTCATCTGAAAAATGGGAAGACTAATGGCATACCTACCATATAGGATGGTTATGGAGATTAAATATGAGGTGGTGCTTATTACAGTGCCTGGCACTTGGTAAGTATGAGCTCTTATTGTGAGCTCTTACTGTGATGAGACCATGGGAGTCTCTAGGAGCTTGGAGCAGGTGGGGAGCTATCTGGTAACAAGGTTAATATGGCAGCACATGGGTGGAGAGGGTGGTGACAGGAGGCCACATAGGAGGCTAGTGTTTCTGTGTGGCTTTGAAGGTGAGAGCCTGGTTGGGCTGCTGGGGTGGAAAAGGACATCTGGAAGGCAGAACAGAGCAGGGCTTAGTGGGGTCAGCTGGAGGGAGAAGCCTTAATGATTCTGAAGAAAACTGGTGTCAATTGCAGAAAAGGCCTTTGGGAGGTGGGGTAGTGGGTTGTAAGCAGAGGCAAGGTCAGTGTTAGATCTGTTTGGTGTAGGATGGCTGTGTGGATCCAGGGGGAGATGACACATCCACATGGGCAAGGGTGGAGGAAGAAAGCTCTGCCTGCTGCCAGGGTTCCTAATATTATGAATCACTGACTTCTTTGGCAAGACCAGGCATCAGGAGCCCATTCATTGTGTGTGTGCGTGTTGGGGATGGGTGTGGAGAAGGGGCCTATACAGGAGAGAAGGAGGGAGCAAGGGAACTAGCTGATAGCCCTTTGGACAGAAGCCCAGCCCTTAACCCTGCCCCTCATTCCCCCACTCCCTGTTTTTGTTTTTGTTTTTTAAATTGGTTTTTAGAGAGAGAGGAAAGAAGAGAGAGAGAAAAAGAGAGAAATCCATTTGTTGTTCTACCCATTTATACATTTATTCATTGAATCTTATATGCACCCTGACGGGATCAAATCCATAACCTTGGTGCATCAGGACAACTCTCCAACCAACTGAGCTACCCAGCCAGGGCCACTCTCTGATATTTTTTAAACCTCAAGACTGGTATTGTGAATTAGCAAGTAATTTTGAAAGCAGGGCCTTTCAGTTAGACTGTCTTGGAGCTACTTTGCCAAAGCAGGAGTGCATTGGGCCTTGACTCTATCAAGGACTACACTGATCTTTTTGACAATATTTTCCATTCATCCTGGGTTTCTGAACTGCTTTGGTTTGAGGAGGGACATTTTGCTGCCAGGCCAGGCGTGGCTCAGCGGTTGAGCGTCAAGCTAGGATCCAGGCGATTGGGGTTCGATTCCTGATCAAGGCACATGCCTGGGTTGCGGGCTCGATCCCCAGTCGGGGGCATGCAGGAAGCAGCCGATCAATGACTCTCTCATCATTGATGTTTCTATCTCTCTCTCTCCCTCTCCTTTCCTCTCTCTGAAATTAATAAAGATATATTTAAAAAAAAAAAAGATGCCATTGCTATCCCATACCTTTTTTAAAAAATAATTAATCGATTGATTAATTTTTTAAATCCTCACCCAAGGATNGATGCCATTGCTATCCCATACCTTTTTAAAAAAATAATTAATCGATTGATTAATTTTTTAAATCCTCACCCAAGGATATGGCCTTCATTGCTTCTAGAAAGAGAGGAAAGGAGACAGGGAGAGAGAGAGAAACATTGATTGGCTGCCTCCCATGCCCTGAGGATAGAACCTGATACCCTTCAGTCATAGGACGATGCTCCAACCAACTGAGCCATACCAGCCAGGGCTCTGGCTCTTAAAATAACTTTTAATTATTTCTTTAAGAGATCAAAAGTCACATCTTCACCATCATCAGAATCAAATAAGGAAAGGAGA